GCCTGGCACGCGGACTGACTAGTTTTTAAAGATCGATCTATAATTAAGCACTTGAAATGATTGGCGTTTTCTTTTTGGACAGCACAATTTCCACCACTGTTGTTTTGTGTGGGTGTGAAAGTTTGAACAATGCCTATGGGTTTTTTTTTTCTTCTTCATTAGTTAATTATATATTTAAAAATGTGGTTCAGAAAAGCAATCTGAAAACCAGGAGAGGATTAGCAGGAACAATGTATTCATTTCTGCCTGATTGTTGTTTTCTGTCAGAGGTTGACATTCAGAGAGGAGAGACTCCTAACACATAACAAAACGAGGTCTCCAAATACAACTGGTTTTGACAACTTATCTCTTAGTAGCACCAGGTTTTGAAAGTTGAGGTGAAGGTACTGCTGTTTATTGTTTTACATTTCTTCCTGTCTGAGCATCTTTATTCTGCCCTGAGGCATTTGTTTGCCCTTGGCGGGATTAATGTAAACATTATTTTCCACTTGATACTATATCTTTTGTTTCTATGGTTGTAAACCTCAATTTGATTCACCCTCAACTGATTTATTTAAATAATGCATTTTAATAATTTCTCTTCCTCTCCCTTCCATCTTAGGGACCGCTCCCCATCCTCACTTCTGATAAGCACATTGATTTATTTAAGCCAGTGTTGCCTTTGTTGCTTCTCGGCAGACCACCTTCCTCCCCATGAGCAGACACATGATTTACTGTGGAGGATGACAATGAGCCTTCTTCTCAGTGCTCCATTGTCTGCATCCTAAACCAGCTGTCTATTAAAATGGTTTCACTTAAAATAGTCAATGCTGTTTATATGCCCCTGGGATCTCCCAGCTGATCCAACCTCAACCAGCTTGCCTCAAATCCCACAGAAGCATACATTTAAATTAGGAAGAGAAGCTGAAGCCCCTTCCCCCAAAAAACTGGTGTTAGGAGATGACTATCTTTGGATGGGGGGGAGAGTGGTTAACGTCTGGATTTGCTCAACTGTGAACCAGTCTTGCTGTGCGTGCTAAATGTACACAGTGAAGATGCTTTCAGAAGAGCAAGCTGGAGAGGGAACTTGGGAGGCAGTGAAAAAAAGGAAAGGAAGGCTGAAGTGTCTTAATGTCCCTGTGTGAGACACTGAGGCTATCCAAATCAATCGATCATACCTTCCTGCACCAGGTCCCTTCTGAGTGTTCATCTCTGGACCCATATTTTCTGTGTTGTGTATATGCATGCACATGTGTTTTCACAAGGCTTTTCAGTGATAAGAAAATTGGGTAGGGTTAGAGGGAGTTCTGCCTTTGACTTACATGGGAAAGCTTGCTCCCTTAATGTGACAGTGCAGTTTACTCTAGAGATAGGAATCTTGTCCTTCCTATTCCATGGAAGACTCCCACTCTCTTTTATTGAAGAATTTCCCAGAAACACATACTTTTTTTTTTTTCTGCTCCTATTCATTGAGAACTCTTATTCTATCCAGCCCAGGGAGAAGGAACCTCAGATTCCAGATCTCCCCAGAGTTCTTAATTATTTCTAAGCAAATCCAAACTCTTGGTTTCATTTTTCTGTGCTTGATTTAGAGAAAGATTCTCTGTTTTGACTCCACCGCCAGAAGCGAAGCAGTAGCTTGGTGTTTGGTAAAGAGATGCATTATGGAGGGGCTGGGCCTTTAACAAGTGATGCTCAGTTACCAAGGCAAAAACATGGGACTTCTGGGAGTCCCTGTCATCCATTGCCTGGGGGGAGTCCCTCAGTGGCTTTGCCTTGCAGCTTATTATTAACTGGATGCTACTGTGGCCCCATTACTTTCAACTAGTAGCCTTGGTAATAATAATGTTTATCTCATCTGGAAAGTTCCAAAATGAGATCTTATGTAATTGATACGCCTGCCACCCCCACCCCCAAATAACACATTTCTTCTTCCTCTCTCCTTGCCTCTCTCCAGTATGGAAAACCTTACTAGACCTGTAAACTGACTTACCAAGTCCAGACAAAAAGTGACGTTGAGGCAGAGGTTATGCAGGGTTTTAGGAGACCATAGAAACAGTTTAGTGATAATGGTAGTTAGCAGAAGTGCATTATTTTTTTGTTTGTTTGTTTGTGTGTGTGTATGTGTTTTTAGCACTATGCTTGGGATCTACTCAGTAATTTACTATATGTTTTCTTCCTTTTTTGATTTTTTTCAAACAGTGATTGCAGGAAATAAAGAACATAAATATAAGTTCATAAAAATACTAAAATTACTCATTATTTAGTTTGTGTGCTCAAGCGCACGCACATGGGCCCGTGTGTGCAGGAGCTCATGAGTGTTCCACACAGGGCCTGTATGGAGGTCAAAGGACAATTTATCAGTTCTTTCCCACAGCCACGTGAACAGCAGGGATTTGCCTCCGGCCATCAGGCTTGTTGCAGACACATCTACCAGCCGGGCCATCTCACTGGCCTCAGTTTTTGTTCTTCAGAATATTTTTTAAATAATGCACTTTCTTGAGTAAAGCGACTTCTTGGGGATTTGAAGAGGTCATTTAAGGATATTGGGAACAGGGCCAGTGAGAAGGCTGGAGAAGGTAAAGATAGTTGGTGAGCAAGCCTGGAGACCTGAGTTCAATTCTCAACCTCCGTGTGGCGCAAAGAGAGAACCACTCCTGCCGTTTGTTCTCTGACCTCCACATACATACACTCACACACTTGCACACACATACTCACACACAGACGCTCACATACACTCGCACACACCTACCTGCACACATACACACACGAGCACACACATACTGGAACATACACTCTTGCACACGCACAAACACACACACACACACACACACACACACACTCACGCACACACCCACAGAGTGGCACATCCCCCTCCCCCACCCCAGTATGATAAATAAATATAATAAGACTAAAGTATGCAAACTAAAACCAGCGACTAAAGATTTGAAGCATAGTAGGGCATTCACATAACCCAAGTTATTGCCCCAGAAAACAGTTATGAATGACTGAAAAGGGTAACATAGAATGTTATGGTGTGCAAAGCTGGCTTGTGTTCACTGGGGCACGGCGGGAATCACCTTAACCAATGGTCAGAGTTTACGCCTCTACTAAACTCGCGGATGGATACGGAACCTGGCTCAGAGGAAATTTAGCATTGCCCAGTGTCGCTGTCCTGCCTTGAAATCCAAGGCTTTAATATGAGCTTGAGAAATCCAAACAAACTCTAGTAGGAGGATATTCTACAACATAACTGGCCTGCATTTTCAACAATGTCAGTGCCATGAACTACAATGACTGGAGGACATTTGGAATGAAAGGAGACATGACAGCTGAGCGCAGTGATTAGTACTGGATTTTCTTTTGCTGTAAAGGACATTATTAGGTAATTGGTAAATCTCAATAAGGTCTGGAGATTAGATTATTCTATTGTATCAATGCTAATTTTCTTATTTGGATAATTGTGCTGTGATTATGCATGAAAGTGCCTTGTTTTCAGGAAATGCATGCTGATCTATTGAGGACATATCTGCAATTTGCTAAAAAGTGATTTAGGGGAAAAAGAAAAATAGGAAGCAAATTTAGTAAAATGCAAACGTTTGAGGAATCTGGGTAATGAATCTCCTATCCTGGACTTCTACATATATTCTTTCAACCTTTTGAGACGTTAAATGTTTTTACTTTAACTGTAAAAATATAAAAATATAAAAAAAAATACAAGGTTATGATGAGGTGGCCATAAAAAATACTTTTGATTGGTCAATGGTAGAGAAATGTGCTTTTTTTCAACCAACCACTTTTTCTTAATTTTTAATTTTTTGTAAAGTTTGCTTCACTCTGTGTTTAGACTTTATACCAGGTCATGACCCTCGGCTCTGTCCACGCTGGGTTACGTTGTGGTGCTTTTGTATCCAAGTTCAAAACCAAAGTGCATTAAGTTTGAATGACAAACTAGGCACACGCAAGTACTTTTATGCGCCACATAAGAATAAGAATAATCTCTGGTTAATTTAAATAGTTTTGTCACTAAGAAAGTGAGGGTTCTGTGAATGTGCGAAAGTAATTTTATTAACAATTTGAAGCTGTGTTATATTACTATTATGCAGCGATACAGTGTTAAGTGAGCTAAATGTATGCTGATGCAGAACCCTGCCCTACCAAGAGCGTTGTATTTTTCTTCAGCAGGGATAAGGAACCTGTAGATCCATGCCCAAGCTTGAGGTTTTGGGGAACTTAGTGGGTGTCCCGAAGCAAAAAGGTGATTTTGTTACAGTAAACAAACAAGCAAACAAACAAACAAAATAAATGAAGAGCAAAGTGTCGTGGTTGGCGGCTGAGGACTCCAGGTTTTGAGAGGGAGACATAATTCTTTGTTTAGGTAGCTGCCTCTGTGATTTCATCACCCACACAGCATCTGCTGGCGAGTGTTCCTGTTTGGGTGGGTGCAACAGCACATGTTTTCAGCCTGTTGGTAGGAAGAGGGGTTTTCCCTCACTGAATCGCTTCAGAAATGACGCAGTCGGTGCATCTACTGGTTAGCTTTTCCCAGACTTGTTTTCTGCTTCTTGCCAGTAGAATACTAAATGTGGGGGTCTGGGAGTAGCGGAGAGGCAAGGGTGTGCTATTGGCTGGTCAAACCCGCATGCTTTTCTATATTTGAAATACAAAACATTGCAGCCTCTGCAGCCTTCTGAAGCTTCCCTCTTTATTGATTAGATTTATTTTTATGCTGTATTGAGAAGAGAATTATGGTTGTCTTGACAACAGATGCCCATCACACAGGCTGGTCCATAGATGTGCATAATGAGGTGCTTGATAGGGCAGAGAGGACCATATCCCATTCCACTCAATTTGGGCTGATCCCGAGCAATGTGTCCTGGAATAATCAGCCCAGTGAGGCTTTTTGTTCTTAAAAGTTAATTGGTCCCCAGCAGGGGCAAGGTGGTGAAGAGCTGGACTGCTATAGGTAACGCTCTGCTACTTGCTTCTATTTTTAGTTAAAAACATGCCTTTCCTTTCAGGCCATAGTGTACGAAGGCCAAGACAAGAACCCTGAAATGTGCCGAGTGTTGCTCACACACGAGATCATGTGCAGGTAAGAAATCTCTCTCTCTCTCTCTAATTAGCAAAATAAAAGTGAATTTGAATCTCAAATCTAGGTGAACTCAGTTCTATGGGGTGGGGGTGTATATGTTTATTTTGCTTTTAGTAAATGATCTAGAAGAAAGGATTCTTAGACACATTTGGTAGTGTCAGGGATCATGACAGTTCTCAATTATTTATTACATTTCGTCTTGGAAGACATCGGTTTGCATTTTGATACCTCACCATTAATGGCTACAGAGCACTGCCCTCCTCATCCTTCACAGTGGACTCAAATACAATACCACCTCCTTACTGGTGACATTTGCACTCAACTGCATGCTTAGTAAAATAAGAGTTCTCTTGAAGTCAGTGGAGGCTTCTGTTTGGGTCAACTTGAAAGTTACAGTTCCTTCTTTTGTGTTCCTCCACTTAATATAACACCCCTCTACCCGAGCCTCCTCATTTCTCCTTAAACTGCCCCCTCCCTCTACTTGCATTTGGTCTTTTAATTATCCTGTTCATATCTGAACATGAACCTAATATTTCTTGGAGGTAGTGAGCTTTGAGATTTGGTGGTGGGGGGAGTGAAGAGGAGGCTTTAAAAGGTTTAATAATTCATGCTCCTCACTTGATTCTTTTCACTTTCTGCTGGAACCATGCTGAAGTGGCCTCTGAGATCACATTCACTCCTATGGCATCAGCCATGGCCCTCATGTGCTGCTCATAGACTCTTGGGGAAAACAATCTCAAAACTCTACAGGTGGAGATAGAATAGAAAGGGCTTTGTGTGTTTTCTGAGTGAAATACCAAATATTAGCATTGTGTCTATACAAATTCCAATTTTCCTTTTTATATAAAAAAGCATACTTCTGATTTATAGTTCTAAGATATACAAGAGTTTCACACATTTTCACTTCAGTGATTTGTAAAACCTGTTAATTATTCTTAAAACCAGGTTGCTTTTCTCCAGACTTAAGACAGTAGCAGAACTCCCAAATGTTGTGGGGTTCCTTACGTTAGTAAGAAAAGTTGGATTTACCCTGTGTGTGTATGAACTGGATATAATCTAGCTGAGTGGTACCTTTCAGAATTAAAGGAGCAAAATCCATTTTGAAAAGCAGTAAAACATAACCCTGTCTGTATTACTATTTCCCTAACCATTTTCTCTACTACCTCAGCCCTCTGCAATTAGCATGCCATTAGACTGAACTCTCCATGTAGAGCTGCACATGACAGTAGCAAAACAGGAAACAGGAAGATGGATTTCAACCAACAGGGCCAGGCACTATCTATACATCATTGATTTGCATTTTGTATCTGCATATGTTTGGATTATGCTGGAGAGAATTCTATTCTTGAACTACTTAGAGATATATTATGCCTTTCACGCACAGGCCTCTCCTCTATTAATGCAGTTTATATTTTCCTTGTTTTTAAAATTCATTGGTCCAAAGTGCTTTATTATGCTGGTTGGTGTGCCTTACTGCTGACGTTCTCTCTATTTTTCAGAAACATAAAAATAGCAAAAATAAAAATCTCAAGCCACTGAAGGCAAATGATGCTGTTTGTACCGTGTGGCTAAGAGGGAAAAGCCATATTCCAAATGTCATCTTGCTAATGTTGCAGATTACAGCCTTCCTGGCTGCCTATAGATGTGGAAGGGGTACTGTTTGTTTACTAGGCTGCCATGACCCCATTACACAAACCTGTCATCTATTGTGTGCCTAACAGTCTTTTAAATTGCAAATCTGATGCTCTTTAGGGGGCTTTAGGAAAAAAAAAAATTCTCACTTTCCATACCATCCTATTTCTCTTGATTTCTTGCCTGTTGTAAGTGGAAGTTGGGATGTGTTGAATTTGCACCAGGGGTGCAAATGCAGCCTCAATTATAAGCATAAAATTAGAATCTGTTCACCATTAATCAGCCTGGCTAATTGCTATGCACCACCATTAGCCATATGGTGTGAAAGACAGCTTGCTCTCCCCAAGATGAAATTTCTTCATTGCAGACATGAAATAGTGAAGGCCCTGGGTTTTAAAATAGCTTGTTTTAGATATTTAATTTCTAAACAACTTTCTGCAGTGCTTTCTATCAAAGCTAACGGCACAATAAAACTTTGCGTTGATGTCACAAAAGCTGTATGTTTATAGTACGCTGGCTATGATGAAGGAGACAGGATTTCGATCCACACACAGGAAAGGGCTTGGTGCATTACAGCAAATGGGAGGGAAAACAAAAAGATAAGCAAGAGACACTCCTCTGTCAGGTGTTGTAAATTAAGAAGAAGGAAAAAAAAGAAACTCCACGCCATTGTGTTTTGTGGGGAAGGTGACCCCATTGTGCGAGATGGCTAAAGAAATTAGCATTGTTAGTTTATAATTATTGACACTCGGAGACAACCCCTCTTTGATTTGGTGATGCAGAGCACCTGTGTAACACTATGAGCGAGCCTCTGCCTTTTGGTGAATTGGAATCTATCACACCAATCACAGTGTTGAAGTTCCTGAGATAACATGGCTCTATGAATCCTTTTTTTTTTTTTTAAGAGTAGGATTCTATAGTAGGTTTGCTTATCTGAGCACCCTAACTTCTGTGCTTGAATGCAGATGAAGAATAGGAAGTTAGCATGGAAGGGGGACTTCGTGTCCTGCAGCCAGCAGGTGTTCTTCATCTTCAGCACCCAGGGAGATGGCAGGTCAGAGGCATCTCCTAGGAAGAGGTCTTGCTTATTTATTTTGTAGAGGAACCATGAAACTCCCAAAGCTAGCCTGCTTACTTGATAGGCTCTTCCTTCCGTCATCTTTTCCAGGTTTACTCTGCTTTCCTCCTTCAGACACCCACTTATGTATAGCTTCTCCAAGGAAGCACCTCTGGCCCTTGGCCCAAGTCATCTCCCCTTGTAAGCATTCCAGTACCAGGTGCTTTTAACTTCATAGCACTCCCTGTCCTTGCAATGACACCTTACTGTCTGTCTTTATTTAGTCAAGCCTCTTTAAGGTCAGGAAGTGACTCAGTTTTCCTCCACGCTTCAGCTGTCCCATTTGTGAAATGGGGTTTTAATGCTATCTCTTAGGGTGGTAGTTAAGGTTAAATGCTATAGTCCATATAAATCCTCACCATGATGCTTGGTAGAGCCAGAACTGAACCTGCTATGACCTGAGGCATTATTAATAGAAGCAGTAGTAGAGACATAATCTGTGCCTGGCCAAGTATTTGGTACTTTGTTGCTCAACGTATCTGATGGTAAGTAAACATTGAAAGGAGGTTTAGTGTCTGTCAAAACCTGAATGTAGCTGGTTCATTATAGTCGTGGTGGTCTCTGCCTTTACTTTTTAGTACCTATTATGCGCAAAGCCTTGTGGAATTTAGAGTAAGGAAATTTCACCCCATAGTAGGAAAGCTTGAAGTTGGAAGCATTAAGCATTAGACTTCACTGGGCAAAGAGTTTAATATGATGGAGGTTTGAGGCGAAGGACTCTGTTAATGGAGAGGAAGAAGAAAATATTTGTAGGTGGATCATAGCAGTGGGAATGGAGAGACGAGATGGATGAGGTATTTTAGAGGCTGCATAAAGAAATGTTGGTCTAGGCAGGCCTGCTTTGTGGAAGTTTGCAGCTGGGCAGACATGTGGCCTGAAGCCAGGAAGAGGGACTTGGTCAAAGATAACCAGCTTCAGACTATGTTTTTCAAGGGTGAGAACTGAACCTTCATGGAAGATGGGATTGAGAATCACGGAAGAAGAGGAAGAGAGGAGTGCATGGTTCTATTCTTAAGAGGAGTACTCACACTGAATAAGAAGGTCACACTATAGAATTAGGAAAAACCTTGAGCATACAGGACTCAGAGAATGAAAGAAGAGGGTGTCAGGGTGGGGAAATCAGCCAGATCTTAGTGCTGGCAAGACGAGGATGGGCACAAAGAGAGAAATGCCCCAGGTCGCTGGTGACTCAGAGAGTAGATTCACATAGATACCTGAGGCTTGCCTCACAGACTGTATGGGCCCAGCTGTCAAGAAATGATGGCCGCTCTTACAGTGAGAAGGCTGATGAGGGAAGAAATGAACTCTAGAGAAATGAAGGAAAACTACACAACATTTGCAGACATGGAGAAAGTCAGTCAGGAGAGGTCCAGATATGAACCCCATCAGTACACAGGGCCAAGAGTGCCCAGGCAAGGCAGAAGAGGTGGAGACTACAAGACTGACTGCTTGAAGGTTGATTGTCCTGAAGACAGGAAATTTTTAGGCGTGGGAAGATGGTAAAGCAGTAGCAATGTAGCAGATTCCATCAGAGTTTATCCCCTCTGTTGGTATTAGTCGCACTGTCCCAGTAACTGACAACGCTCATTCCCTAGCCACTTTGGCTGAGTAGGGTAGGAATCTTAATTTTTACTGGGATGCCCACTTTAGCACCTGTCTGTAATCCCTGGGAGGAGGAGGCAGAGGATTGCTGTAAATCTGAGGCTAGTCTGTGCTGGAGAGTGAGTTCTGGCCCAAGCAGGGCTATTTAAAAAGACTTGGGTCTGAACTGTCCCCATCCACTACCCAAATGGCATCCATCTCCAGTGGCAAGAGGTCATACTTACAGAAAGAAGTTAGGTGCTTAAGATGAGGATCTGCAGGCATGGCGACTAGGGAGCATTCAGATGTTTCCTGCCCTGATTTATGGACCTGTGAGTCAGCTCACTAGAAATCTGCCACCTGTGTTCACTGCTAAGGGAGGGACTCCTAAATCTCCCTTTTTCCCCTGAGTGTGCAGAACTAGTTGGGAGATCCATGGGCCTGCTGGTGAGTCCCCAGTGTTTGTAGCCCATACCAGGTGTGGAGGACCCACTGCTGTGAGTGGTCACATAGCTGTCCTGTCCTTTGGGTGGCAGATTAAAAAGGAGATGCAAAGAAGAGTGGCACCTGCCATTCTTGGGCTCTTGATCTTGGGAAAACCAAATTGGGGAAATCCAAGCCCCCTCAGTAGATGCCTGCTGTAGGGAGCGGGTGCTGAGCCCATGCAGGC